TAACTCTTCATTAACGCCAGACAAGTAACATGATTAAAACATCAGTAACCAAAAATAACTATGTAAACACCAAAACGCAATATTATTCTGATTTTATTACATTTAGAGTAAGTGGCGAATAGTGGATATCTAATGTATATAATGTATCTATTGACAGTATAAGGTTGCGCTGCTGAGGCGAGGCTCCCGCAGCCTCTCCAGGAGAAATCAAAACGCGCAACACTAAGAAACTCAGCATCCTGAGGTAAAAATTCAAAATGGAAAGTTTTTATATTCGAAATGGAAAGTTTTTATATTTAAAATACAGTTAGTTAGGCAACATCACACAACGTTTTCACCAGCACGACTGTTTAATACTTCTATAAACAGTTCAATAAGCAAATACAATAATATTAGGTCACTTACATTTCAGGCTGAAACCGGGCAGAAACAGCGCATCTCGCAACAACCAGCAAATTCATTGCTGATTGATTCCGTGTTTTTAACGAATCGGTTGAGTCAAAGTTTCATTAGCCCATGCATAAACATCTGATGAATCTGCCGTTTGAACGAATCGTTTGAATGAACGACTCAATGACTCACTCATTAAACGCTCACTACTGGCACCTACTGGCGTTTTAATTTCGTTGAAAAGTATCATTTCCACCATAATTTCTTGCTTGTATATTCAAAAATATTTAAAATAATCTCATAATATTATTTAATGCAGTTGTATTTTTCAGTGTAAATGATTTAATTTGATAACGTATAGATAATCACATTATTATAATTTAATTTATAGATCAAATGTAAGAATTTGAAATGAAAGTATTAATGAGATTAGTGGGAAAATGCCCTTGGATAAAATCATAAACGGATAAAATATAAAAAACACGAAGATTTATATGTCACAGCTGATATAAAACTGATGAGAATATGATCAGAATAAATCACATTTGCAAAAATCAAAACACACACACACACACACACACACACACATATACAGTATATATATATGTGTGTGTGTGTGTGTGTGTGTGTATGTGTAGATATAGAGCATATATATCATATGGCTAAATTGATCACTGGTGGAAGTATTCACACACAATGTTAAAGATTATTAATCTTAGTCCCATTCTTATTTAGGTCAAATGTATTTTCTGTTTGTTTACCACCAGTTGTAAATATCGTATACTACAGTTCGAATTTGATTGGCTGAGCGTTCATCAGTGACTCTTTCTGCAGGTGACATTATTACGCCAGTAGGTGGCACCAAGGAAATGTTCCTGAAATTAATCTTTGAATCATTCAATAAACCGATTCCTCCAAAACACTGATTCATTCCGAAGCGCATCAAGTGCACTGTTTACGTGGGTGAATCATCGAATCATACTTTCAAGCGATTCGTTCAGTAACACTGATTCATTCAGAAAAAAAACACCTCTATTGTGTGTAGCTTGCCTTGCAGACCGAGGGTTGCTTCTGCTGTGGCTTTGTTTGGAAGTCTTTTTGGAGCAAAATGTGTCTACAATGTAAGTTACGCAATATTCATTTTCATTTCTTGTTTATTGAACTGTTAAATGCATTATCACAGTTGCAAAACCTGGAAAGTGGCAAGCTCAATAAACATGAGTTGCCTATTTTTTATTTGGGTGTTTGCGTTATATCCGTACAAGGACAAATCAAAGAAAAGAACTCATTAAAAGCAATCCTTAATAACTTTAATGACGTTAAGGTAACGCATATACAGGTGCATCTCAATAAATTAGAATGTCGTGGAAAAGTACCAAGTATTGAGTACATGTACGTAAATGAACATACTTTCCAGAAGGCTAACAATTCACTAAAAATGTTTTTTTTTTATTGGTCTTATGAAGTATTCTAATTTGTTGAGAGTGAATTGGTGGGTTTTTGTTAAATGTGAGCCAAAATCATCACAATTAAAAGAACCAAAGACTTAAACTACTTCAGTCTGTGTGCATTGAATTTATTTAATACACAAGTTTCACAATTTGAGTTGAATTACTGAAATGAACTTTTCCACGACATTCTAATTTATTGAGATGCACCTGTACTCTCACTGAAATCTTTGGTTTGGCCCAGTGGTATGTTGTATGGTCTGTGGTCACATTTTCTGAGAGAGAAACATTTTCAGAGGTGCGGACACAGATTGAAGACTCCACTAAGCCACTGTATTCTGGGCCAGGGAAACTTTAGAAGAAAAACCTTCCATAACCTTTAGTTAAAAGGAAAGCACCTAACATAAAAGTCTCTTTTGAGATACTACAGTAGATATCTTGTATGAATGTTACCAAATATAGCTTCCATCATTTCAGAAAAGTGCTGCTTGCCAAGCCAAATGCCTGGTACAACATGTCATTTTATGATGAGAGAAATACTTTCTTTTTTTCTGCGTGACGTTTACAAAATACTCAAAGTGTCTTTCAACTCCTGGCTACTTTCCAGTTTGTTCTCCTGCTGTGCGATATCTCATAAGTCAGTCTGAAAATCGATTCATTTTCTCCCTCTTTGCTTGGATGCTATTTATAGGCCACTTTATAGGCATCTTCCACCTTCCAAATGATTTTTGGCTGTATTGTTTGTTTGTTTGTCTGTTTTCCAGAATGATCCTGTTTTAGAAAATTGCAATTTATTAAACTATATTAATCACAATATTTCACAGAGACCACTGTGCTGCTGTACAATATCAGTGTAAATCATAGTTTGCTCAAACAAATGGTACTGTAATATACCATCACGGTATCCAATGGTAATACCATGGTTATTTGATGTGTAGTGTGGTTCTGAATGCCATAATTATATCCCATGTATTTACATGGTAATCTAAGGTACTATGGAGCTACCATTCTGCATGTCAAAAAAAAAATTGTATTACTATATTACATTTTGGTTTTATTCTAAATTAGAAAAGTAACAATAATCAGTCACCACAGACAACTACAGGACAACTACAAATTTAACTGACTACAAACTACTTTTAAAATCTACAAGATAGTTATACTACTAAATGTCTACACTGTAGTTCAGAAAGTGTTCTAGCAGGTGATGCTTTTGGCAAAGGCCACTGGGTGTTTATGGAGCTGACTCAGCGTCCTCTTCTTCTGTTTCTGTCTTCTTCATTTAGAAGCGAAAATCAAACATTTGCCTTCCTCTCTTTCTGACGCTTGCACAGCACTGCACAAACTAAACTTCCCCTGAGGAGTGTATTGGCCTGGACTTAAACTGGGCCAGCAGATTATAGCTGTGGCTTCATCAGAATATGACAGACTATGAGCCTTTCCTCTGTACAGCTGCACTATAATCTCAACTATAATCCTATTTTAGGATTGTTCATATGAATGTACATGAATATCAGTTTATATCAAGTCCTTAAAGGTCTTAGCCTTTGCTTTATGTTATATATATATATATACATACATACATACATACATACACACACACACACATATCATATCATATATATTGATTTTTTTAATACAATTTCAAATTTATAATAAAAATATAATAAAATAAATTCTTAAGTTTTCAATCAGATTAGATTTTAGTAAGTGCCTTTTAACAAAACATTGAAAAGCCAGAAATTCTTTGTCAGGGACGTATTTAGGGAAACAAGGATATCTTCAGGCAGTCGGAGAGAGAGAACTGGGGGAGTGGCTTCTGTTGTCAAGGACAACAGCATCAACACAGCGTGGTGACAACACAC